AAAGGAAAAACTCCCTTTAAACAGGAAGAAACCTCCAGCAGAACCAGCCTCAGGACGAGTGACCATCTGCTTTGGGGTTTAATTTATTTCCTGAGTATGTTCCACATTTACATATTTGTAATCTTACTCACTTTTTAAATGCGTGACGTAAAATAGCAACAAAACGATTAAAGAAGAGATGATCTCTCAAGTTTACTGTGTGTATTATCAGGTCTCTCTTGTAAATGAGTCATTGAGGCTCAGTGGGATTTACCTGTCTAAATAAAGGTATATATACAGTATGTATGTGTATATATGTATTTTCTTTTTCATTGTTAAACTATGCTAAATATAACAGAAAACCTTCCTTCCTAAGATAGATAACTTAATTAGTTGGCATTTATAATGTATGTGAATGTTTTTGTTCAGTGCCCTGAGATAACTTGTGTTATGACTTGGCACTATAGAAATAAACTGAATTGAATTGAAATGAATTGAAAGTGAATGTTGGGCCAGTCTGAGTAGTAATTATTATATATTTTTTCTTCTGGATCCATATATCTGACACTGCATTACCTGGAAAACAGGTGTGCTTATCGTCACAACCAAGATATTCTTCATTGTCAATGCTGGGAACGTATAATTGCAGCCCTCACAATTCTTTCCTTGTCAAAACTGGTTGAACGAGACACATTTTTCTCCTAAAAGTGTTAGAAATTAGCACATAAAAATGAGTGTGTGCAGAGCTATTAGACAGTTTGGGCAAGTGTTTGACTCATCAGGACCTTTTATTTTCTCTTTGATTGTTTTCCACAACACACACACCTTTGGCCTATCCATCAATCAGTCCACCTGTAGAATACGTATATGTATGCAGCCTTGCAATCAAACCTTTATTTATTCAAAAACTCTTGATTCAGGAGTTTTGAATTAAACATAAATAAAACAATATAATACACACAGTATATAAAGTATATATATATACATACTGTATATATATATATATATATATATATATATATATATATATATATATAT